GTTTTCCCATGGGCTCAAAATCACTTTGGGAACAAAATTTGGTGCTATCAACAAGATGGAATCCCTGCTCATAAGGCCCGCGTTGTGCAAAACTGATTCCAACAAAATTTCCCGGATTTCATCGCTTACAATCAGTGGTCACCGTCATCGCGGACTTAAACCCGTTAGATTCTTCAGTATGGAGTGTTCTCGAAGCAAAAGCATGTTCCAAGTCTCATTTCAACATCGATTCACTTAAGAAATCCCTTCAGAAAGAAGGCTTGAGATGGAATCGATGTCCCCTACCTTTCTGCCATTGTTGATGCTTTTCCGAAGCGGCTCGATGCCTGTGTTGCCGCACATAGAAATCTTTTTGAAAAAAAGTGATTGATCTTGTTAAAATATTGCAAAAGAATACATTGTTATGTTTTTATTTTTGATTCAAGAAGAAGTGATTCTATAAACTTTGGTTGTATCGTTTCGGGTAGTTTTAGGACACCCTGTACAGTTGGTTCTCAATGATAATTTGTATACAGACGAATCTCGTTAGTAAATAATCAACGAGATCAAAAAGAATCGATTTACTAAAAAGATTATTTACTAGCGAGGTTCAGGAAGCACTATATTGGCTCATTGGGACCTAAAAACCCAAATTCACTTCGCTAACGGGGTTTATTTACTAATCAGTTGCGTATTGAAATGAAACTCTAAAAGAATTAAGATCTTGGTACTTATCCACTGATCAAAATATATTCTAATATATGTCAAAGAACATAAACCATACAAAAGAAATTGGAACATTACTCATTTATTATCTATTATCTAAGATTTTGCAGTTCAATTGTCCCCATTTGGATCAAAATGTTGGGTGAAATTTCTTCACATCAAAGCTGTAATCGTCGACACAACTATTTTACTTGCCTTGCTTGGTGTTGTATTTTATGGTTGTTATTTTAAGAAAGTCTGTATGGGGAGTTACATCGATTGTCAGGTGAGCTGGTGAAATATTCGAATGGCTGACGGTGAGTATTGGGTTGGTGAATTGAAAACTGCGGGACTTTGAACTAAAATTTATTTATTCAACATAAAACCATCAATTCATTCGAAATAATTTCCATTATTATTGACGACTTCTGCCCATTTTACAGGCAATTTGCGGATTCCTCTTTCGTAGTAGGATTTTGGTTTGTGTGTGAGACAAGTGTGAGACTCAAAAATAGAGGACTGGAGATGTCCCAGTTTGAGCACTTTCTTCAAAAGAAACCCATTTTGGTGTCAATAGAAAAGTTGTAGAGAATCAAAAATTAGGCTTATGGCCAAATTTCCAGGTTACTTTTGAAGAAAGTGCTCAAACTGTGACATATGACAATAGGCCGCAGTTTTCAATTCACCAATCCAATATTTGAAAGGCTGACGGTAAGTATTAGGTTGTTCTGATATAAACCAGCGTTGCTGAACTTATTGTTTGTAAGAGAAGCTTTGGAAGCATGTCTTTCGGTATTTAAAACTACGTTATCTCGCGCATATTTGGAATCTTTTTAAACGGATAATTTCTTATTTTCAAGATCTTTTTTCTTGCTTTAAATGACCGATTTCGAACATCAAGTTCGCGTCTGCATGCTTTACGACTTAGAACTGGGCAAAAAAGCCGCGGAATTTCATCGAGATTTGGTCAAAGCATTTGGGAATGATGTATTGTCCGAAAGCCGATGCCGAGCCTGATTTCAACGCTTTCGGAATGGTGATGAAAGTCTCGAGGATGATGAACACTCTCGTCGACCTCAAGCGGTAGACAACAATATTTTGAGGACTGCAATCGAATCGGGTCGATGTCAAACGAGGCGTGAACTTGCTCAGCAGTTTTTATGTTCAAATTCTACTATTGATGAGCATCTCCACGCCATTGGAAAGACGATCAGATGCGGGAAATGGCTTCCTCACGAGTTAAGCAGTGCAAAAAAGGCTTCACGGGTCGCTATTGCCGGAATCCTCATCCGCCACGCTAAAGATCATGGCTTTTTTGATTCTCTCGTTACTGGAGATGAGAAGTGGATCTATTTCGGTAATACTATTCGAAAACGGCAATGGCTAGGACCAGGAGAACGGCCAAATCCGACCGTGAAACCGGACATTCCTGGGAAAAAGGTCATGCACTCAGTATGGTGGAATAACAAGGGCCTTGTGTATTTTGAGCTTCTACAAACAGTCACATCAGACAAACAGCAAATTGGTCGGGTCAATGAGGCTCTCATTCGTCAAGGAGTAGACACATCAAAGATAAAGCTCATCCATGACAACGCTAGACCTCACGTTGCAAAAATCACCCAGCAAAAACTGGAGAGTCTAGGATGGGAAACTCTATCACATCCGCCGTATTCTCCCGATTAGGCTCCCTCAGATTACCGTTTATTCCGGTCGATGCAAAACCTTTTGTAATGAGAAATGGCTAACGAGAAATTCAAAACCCGTGAAGATGTTCAAAATTCGACCGTCAAGTTTTTATCGAATCACAGCCGGCTGGGTTTTTCAAGCGGCATCAATTCTTTGCGCTAAAGATGGCAAGAAATAAACAATAATAATGGTAAATATATTTTAAAGATTAAACTGTGTTGTTTCTGTTTTTAAGTTAAATTTTGTCAACGACTAAAACGCTGGTTTATATCCGAACAACCTAATAGATTTAAAGTAAACTTTTGATTTCAGATGATTTGTGGTGTTAGGCTAGGTCAAACAGCTTGAATTTGTGACTGAATTATTGTTACTATGTTATTATTGTTACAATTATCGTTTCTAAACATAACTCTACATTAATCTAGGGTTATTTTAATGGTATCGACTCGAGTGATTTCGTTGATGAACAAGTAGTTCTTGTTTTTCAAAATGGACCCATCGTTGTCACCACTTATTCTTTTTGTGCTATTATCTTCTTCATCAAAATTGTGACATGCTTATTTTTAAGCTATTTGGGTATTAGTCAAACGATGCGAACACGTCATTTGAAACAACAAGATGAACATTCAAGAAAGACTGTCGAGATGCAGAATTACTTCTTGTTGATCTATTTATTACAGGTACATTGATTTTTGTTTCTAGCTGTAGCTATAGCTTTTTATTGTAGCTTGAATACTATTGGGTGAGCAATTTAAACCCGATTTCAAAACACTAATTTATCGATTCAGTTTAATAAACCCTAACTAGGGATTGTTGTTTATTTATCACCGAGTTTCGAAGTGGAACCTAGCCTATTTTGTAGCAAAATTTTATCGCTGATTCCGAATATCTAAGTCGTTTTTGTGTAATGGATCCAAATTTTCGACTTACGACTAATTAAATCGTAAAATCAGACTTATCTACACAATAATATTCAAAGTATCATTTGTAATTTTAGATGTTTAACACATTCTTCACCTTTTTATTACCGTGCTTTATGCTGATCTTGGCAATGCTTAACATAAGTATTCTACCAGAGTTTGGTAAACTGTTTATTAATATTAACAATTCCCTTTGTTTCAGTCAGTTCATCTTTTGTCCTATTCATGTATTTTCACTCGGCTTTCAACTCGTTGATCCTCATATTTTCCACGAGAACCTACAGACAAGTGCTTTATGGATGGTCGTTGAAAGTGTATTCATTCGTTTCAAGAAAAGCAACCAGTGAGTGTTTCCTGTCCCTAATTTTTCTCACTATTCTCTCTTTAATTTGCATAGATACTTGAATTAACATAAAACTGCATCAATAGATGTCTTCATGAGTACATTTAGACTTTTCCTATTATCCCATCTCTAGTTTGCATATAGATTAAAATAAGCCTTTGTGTAAATCAGAGTTATAACTGTATCAATTCAGCTTCACGCTAAATGCAAGCGATAGGAGATAGCGGAGTTATGAAAAAGCCAGAATTTCATCGCTGCAAAGCTATTGCGTCCACCAAAAACTGTTGCAAGATCATAAATTTAAAATAAGCCATCAATTTAGCAAACTGGCAATCGATTAATAGGGTTTTCGTTGAGTCGACAAGCACGAATGGCCATCGAACGACGAGATCATAAAACATGAAGAAACTTGTTAAAACTTTATGTGGAACTAAAGTGAAATACTTCACAATTCGTTCGACAGATGGAGAGGTTCTCTGTTCTTACAAAACACTTCAATATAATGACATTGTCCTCGTCAATGATTGAGATTAGGTGAAAGGGTCGGAGATGGGCCAAGAGTTGGGAACTAATTGAAACATTGATGTATGGCATTTGTTATGAGAATAAAAGCTTAACAAAAGCGATTACTTAAACGAAATGACCTAAAAAATAGCATTAAACTTGACAATAACTGATCAGAATGTTAAGTGAACATTGATTTTCATTTTTGATTTTGTTTTGACAAACCCAGTACGAACACCCATTGAACAAATTAATAATAAAAAAACCTATATAACGTCACTTTTTACTTAAATTACGCATCATTTTGTTTTTTAAATGACGTCTTTAAATTTCCCAATCTTGTACGCCATACGCCCACGAGCTCAAGGAAATCTGGTGCTCCGTATGCTCATTTAAATTCTGTTTTTTGATATCCAAGTTCGACTCTAAAGTTCATAGAAAAAGGACAATCTAATAACACCTGGCTACCGGTAAATTTCTAAATTTACTCCCTTTTTTCCACTTTTTCCACTTTTTCCATCTTCAATCAAAATCGGTTTTCACCTTTGCTCAATCTTTTGAATCAAACATTTATATAATTTTCAAGTTTTTCAAAGTAGACTCGATGTATTTTACAGTAATCTTACAATCTGGTTCGTAATTTGTGCTCAAACACGTTGAAAATCTTCATTTTATTCAATCACTTAAGAAAAATATGGAAAACAAGTGCGCCAGGGGTTCGTGTTTGTTCAAGCACAAAGTACGACGAGAACATGGAACTACTCCACCCTTTTTCATTACTATTCACTCAGCTTTTATCTAATAATTCAAATGTTTACTTTCAGAAGCTCTAAAATCAGTCTCAAAAAATGAAAGCCCTACAAATGATTCTCATCGTTGTTTTATTTTTTGCCCTCATTGCTCAAAGGTGAGTCAAATGATCAGATTTTTAACTCAAAATTCTGTGGGATAAGAAAATGAAAGGATAGAGAGATTAAGAAAGAAGCTTGTATGATTTGAATCGTTTCAGTGAATCCACTCCATTGGTGTCTCGACGAATGAAACGACGTTTGATAATGCGACAACCAATGATGGATATTCCCTTTGAGGATGTTCTCGATATATACAATTTGGGAGCAAGCAAGAGAAAACTACGGTATTCAGCTGATTACCTTTACAATTCTTTAATAGAAACAAAGAAGTAGTCTGTCTTGAACTGATCTGATTAATCTAAGAAAAGCCCCGAGGCCTGTCTGAAGCCAAATCAGACCTGATCTGGTCTGACTGACTTACATACTTGGTTTAAATCCTCCTAATAGAGATACCGTATTAGTCTAATACTAGTGCACCCTGAGCGTCGCCAAAATTGCTCGAAATCTCGACAAGCGCTTATCAGAACCTATCGATGTGGGGTCGGAAAATGTAGCTGACGATGAGATCTAGTGGGGGATTAGAGTGTTGAGCTTCGGCAAAAGCTTGGAAACCCGTAAAATAGTCCCCAACACGGCTCGGCGGGGTGCACTACTATTAGAGAAAAACAGTAATTAAAATAATCTCTATCACAATATTATGAAAAACATTTCAGGCACTCACACAAAGCGCAATTTCTTCCCAACCTCCACTATCTACGAGCTCTGGTAGTCCCCAACCACCCCTTCCCCATTCACAAAGTATTACCCTAATCTATAAATATCATTCTATTGAATAAACCTCAAGATGTTTTCTTTTCGATTTTGACATTTTTTGGTTTTCTTTCTTGGGTTTCTTGGTCGATCTCAAGCCTTTCCAAATCTCATTCGCATTCCTTTTCGGTTATTATTTTTTCGGTTTTTAAATCTGTGATAATATCTGGTTTTTTTTCTTTTAGCGCTATAAAATAAATCTTTATGGGGTATTGGAAGCTTTAAAAAGATTAACGAATTGTGTTTTCTCTTGTGGCCTGAAATGGTCTAAAATGAAGCTTTTTCGAAAAACAGAAGCTCTAGAAGACAAATAAACAAAAAGAGTTCTTTTATGTTAGTTTCATATAACTTTAATTGGCGGTATTTTCTAACGGAAAACCCGGGCATGACCATTACCAGAAACACAGAAAAGAGACATTTGTGACCCCTCAACTTAAAAGTCACCCAAGGCTTCAATAATCAATTCAATTCAAAAGCCTTTGCACTATTTTGTAGAGGAGATTCAGGGTTTTCGAACAGTATAAAACACTTATCGGCTGAGGCTTGCAGTCTTTTTATTTTTGGAATGATGTGTGAGCGCTGGTTTCATTCCCACCACCCTAATATTAGATTGGCAACTTGAAAGTTGGTACACTTATGCATTTTACTTTTTAGAAATAACTAGTGCATCAATTAATCTACAGTTTTAACCAATAAAAAGGTCTATTTATTCTCTAAAATAAGCTTAAGACAGATTTAGAAAAGCTTCGGTTTTGCCGGTTTCTAGGGGGCAAGAAGTTGAGGAACGAAAAAAAAAGTGAACACTTGATAAAGCGATTTGAGCACTTTCTTAATAATATATATGTTACGTCCGAATCTGAGGAGACATCCATCTCCGATCCGGACGTCCGAATCTGAGGAGATTCGTTCTCCTCTGAAACGGACGACCGACTCAGAGATGGACGTCCGACTCTGAGTCGGACGTCCGTTTCGGAGGAGAATGATCATTCTTCTCGGAATCGGACGTCCGATCTTGAGAACAAATAGTTTAAATGCAAAATCCAATGTTTTGAACAAAACACATGTATTCAGATTCAAATTTTCCTTTTTTCTTTCAAATTCAAAGGTAAAATTGATGTGATTGTGCTTTTTCAAGTTCTACTAAAGTGCCGTTAACCTTTATAACAAACATAACATAACAAACAAAAACAACAACGAAAATTAACGGTTGCATAGACCATTGACATTAAAAATAAAATTGAAACAAAAAAGAGACAATAATTACTTGTTAGTACAGCTTTTCGAATGGTGGCATCTCGAATTGCAGAGCAAGTCCTTCCTTCGACAAGCGCACCGATTCGTTGTGCATCCGCTCAAGCACATGCAATGGCTGTGACCTAAATGCAAAGAATTGAGTCAAATAAAAACATTTACAAACTATCAAACCCATTTAAGAATTAATAAAAGTTACTTACCTTGACTTCCTGTGATTGATGCTGCTCCAACGGCTGTTCTCACTGTTGTCTCCTTGTCTGGGATCGAATCGATGGAGATGAAAATGTTGTTGCAGGGAGCCATTTGATTCCTAGTGAACATCTGACGAAGATGACCATCTTGTGTGCCGATGGAGTAGAAACCGTCATTAACCCCTAAAATTTCTTTTACACAATGCAAATAACTTGACAATTACCTGTAACGACTCCGAGCAAGTTTTGAGGGCCGATCTTGGGGTGATCGACATTTGGAATCGGCAGCACCACGTTTTGTCCAACATCAATTGGACAAAATATAAAAATAATCTTAATGAAAAGTTAAAATTCCAAAAGTACCTTAATTCACTGGCTTGAAGCATCTTTCGTGCTTGTTTCTCCTGAGCAGACCAGGCTCCCTCTCTTTCCATTAGAATCGAATCGTGTCGGCGATCGATTTCCACACGCTCCTCAACAATTTGTCCGCCTAAAATTAAACAAAATCCAATTAAAATTTTCAAAAACAGACCAAGTATTGCTCCAACAAGTGTAAGTTGAAAATCGGCTTCACCAACCGCAGATAATTCCTAAACAAAAGAGACATGTTTATCTAAAGCTTGAATTATACCTCAACATTTTCCTCTATCGAATCCGTAAAGCTTAGATCCGTGTAACGAGTCGAATTACCTTCCTAAAATCGCAAATAAAAGTAAGTACAAATACAAAAAACTACTAATATGTTCTCTACGGCGTTTATTGTTTGCTCTAGTGCATCATCTTCGGATGTTGGAGCAATCTACAAGACGAAATTGCTCTAAACATAAATATTAGGTTGAGTACTAAGTCTTTCACCCAAATTCATTTTCTAATTGAGTACGCCTCAAACAACCAAATACCAAACAGTTTCTTTTATTAGATAACCCAATCATTTTCCTTGCAACTAACTTTGAAAGTTATTGAAAAGCTTTGTTTTGAAGGTTTTTCATTAAAAAGAAGCCGAGTGTTTAAAAACGACAAGTTTCGATGATGCGATGCGAATAAAAAATACTTTACCTCATCGTTAACAATTGTTGCATCGTCTTCGGGCTCTTGACCAAACATTGCTGCATAAGGAGAACGGTTGATACCAGAATGAAACCTATTTCCTTATTTGCATAAGGAGAACGGTTAATACCAGAATGAAACCCAGAATGAAACCTATTAAACTTAATTTTTCATAAAATTTAAAAAGTTACCTAATGTTCTTCGTGTATTGATGAAGCCCATTCAATTGTTTTATTCTCTCTTTTATGGGCGCTTATGATATCCTAAAACACCATAATGACCTGAATGACCAGATAAACAATCCAAAATACCTCTATATCTGCATTTGCCCGCTCGACGCTGCCTTGCGATTGTGAATGGCGCGGCTTTCCGTGTACAATTTTGCATCCTGGCCATTGGGTGACCGTATCTTCGAGATGTTTGTTTGCAAACACTCGTCCGTTATCTAAAACAGAAAAATAGAGATTATAGGAACAATAGTAACTATTATTATTTTTAAAAACCGCTTACCAGTTTGAAGAATCCGTGGTGCCCCGAAGGTCCCGAAAATGGAAACCACGTGTTCTGCCACTTCCATTGTTCTGCCACTTCGCTTTCAGCGCCCTAAGCGACACGAATTTCGTCAGATGGTCCTAAATTTTTAAAAATTGATTTTAAAACCAACATTTAAAGAATAAGAAAAACAATTTACCTGATAAACTAAGATGAATTTGGAGTCGCCATCGGGAACACTTTGCATATCAATTAAATCGAGTTGGCATCATTGGTTTTGATGGCGAGAAATGATTGGCTTCAATACGATCCCCTTTTCGGCAGCTTCTTTTTCAATTGACATTCCTCGCATTGATCCACGAAAATCTTCCAAATGTCCTTTGAAATCCCGAAATAACTTCGAAGAGCTTTCCACATTATCCCAATACCAGCGTGTCCGAGAGATGAGTGTTTTTGTCGAAGCAATTCGTAGAGATCCTCTCGTTTAATGACTTTTTTCCCTTCGTCCTCTTTGCTCCATCGCCATGATGCAGCAGAATTGAAGTCCCGTTTTCGTTGAATAGAGAATATCGTCGGTGAAGATTTTGCTCCGCTTTTGATCTCCAATTGCTTTCTGATTGCAACAGCTCGATCATATTTTTGTACTTTTCAGTGTTTGGGAAACAACTTCGTTGCCCGAGTTGCTCATCGAAGCCCGCCATTCACAAGCTAAAAAAGAAACATATAGTTAAAAACATAGTTAAAATGTATAGATAAAAGAAAAAAATAAAACATCTTGCCAAATTGTCAAACCGTACATCTTACCAAATTATTTGTGAAGAAAAAAAAGTAAATTGAGAGAATTTCCATTTTAACTTCCTTTTTCATTTGTTTTGTTCTAAACATTGGATTTTGCATTTAAACTATTTGTTTTCAAGATCGGACGTCCGATTCCGAGAAGAATGATCATTCTCCTCCGAAACGGACGTCCAGCTCTGAGTCGGACGTCCGTTTCCGAGGAGAATGAATCTCCTCAGATTCGGACGTCCGGATCAGAGCTGGACGTCAGATTCGGAAGTAACATATATTCTTTGTTCAGGGGCGAATAGAAGTGAATCAGATAATCATGACCGCATAACATATTGCTACAATACTTTCAGAAAAGAAGAAAGAAAACTAGAAATAGTACAGTAAGACTCTATAGAGACTATTGTTATATAGAGCTAATGAAAACTGGTTTTCTGAACCGAATCGTTATAGAGGGTCATTATAACGATTTTATTAACGATAACAACAAAATACAAAGATTACAAGTTTCTAATTTCAAAAAAGAAATTATTTAATGTATTCTGCTTTACAGAGTTCAAAATTGTTTCATAGAAAAAGCCATCAATAACGGTTAAAGCACGAGAAACAGCACTGTTTCCATTTTGCTTTGCGTATTTCTTTTGATAGGATACGAAGGCTTCACTTTTCGAAACACAGTCTCCCATTACATTCTTCCATTACTTCCATTACAATTTCTTCTTCGCTTTCACTCCCAGAAAGTAGAACATTTTCGGCATTTCGCGAGCCTAAGGCTATTTCTTCTAATGAACGAAAATCTGTAGTGACAACGAAGTCGTCGGCAAGCATGAAATCCATTGCATTAATGTTCTTTTCCACATCATCCCGATCACAAATCTGCATCCATATAGGCTCGGCCACCTTGTTAATATCGTTCTCCTCTTCGATTTTCTCGTTTCAAGCCTTCTATTTAACGTCTGTCTTTGTCGCAAAAATCGTTATATCAGTAAAAATATTCAATATTTTGGAAAAATTTATCGTTATCTCGAGAAAATCGTTATAAAAGAATCGTTATATCAAGGTTTTTTATAACGTATTTTACATTACGATCGCCGGCACCGAGCACAGCTAGCACAGCTTATGTAGAGCAAAGCTTATGTCGAGGTTATCGTTATATCGATGGTTGTTATAAAGAGGCATTTAAAAATTTTAAAAAAAAACCACATTGCCTGATCAACAGTTGGATGAGGAGCATCATTTGTCCTTGTTGATTGCTTTCCCTTCTCGTCTTTACTCTCATTTGTTGACGGATTGTCCGATTGTCCCTAAAAACGTATTTTGCAATAGGGCTAAATTTAGTTGTTGAACGAAATTACACTGCACTAATGGAGTTCAGCTTACAAAAACAAAAAAATCAACGTAAAACACAGATTATTCAACAGTAGAAATAAAAAAAATCTTTTCCCTTTCCCTCTTTTCTTTTTCTCTCCTTTTCCGTCTCCATCTCCCTCACCTTTTGATGTTAGATTTCCTAAGAACAGGTGAAACATTTAATGATTTATATTCAAAAGTAGAAGCTAAAGTTTTCAAGAAAATTTTCTTAAACATATCGATTTACGTGAAATGTTTCATCCAACTGCTGCCCAGAGATTTTTACTGAATTGTTTATATGAAGGCTTATGGTAAGTTGTTTGTTTTTTTGTAGCCAAATTGATTTAGTGTTGTCACAACATTACTCTTCTTCTTTGCAATGTATTTCTTGATTAGACACAAAAGTCTAGCCACAAAAAGGCATCGACAGTACATGTTTTGTATAGCGGTGAGGATCAGTATTTTTGTTGACTGAACTAGACAAAGATTGATACAGGTCTATGTCATGAGTTAGTCAAAACAATCCGTTAGACAAGTGGTTGAGGTATATAGTAATAGCCAATAGCTAAGCTACATACCTTTAGTTCTAATAACAAAATAAATAAAGGCTAGAAGCTTTCAGATATCTGCACAACTGATGGATCTCACCGCAGCACTCAGTCAACCAATCTTCATGCCACCATTTGGGGCCTTTTTTCAGATTTCTCCAATCTATCTACCATCTCCTCTTCCATTAATTGCATTTGTAAAGCAACTACCACTAAATATTTACAGTTATCTTTTAGGTAATCGATCTTTTATGGGTTATTGTTATTTTTTCAGCTTTGGAGTTTTCCGCCATATACAAAGGTAAATGAAAGAACTAATGGCCAGTATTGAACTGATGACACAAATTATTGAGTTGTGTACTAACAAGGAAACCACATACAGTGCGTAACAAAATGATAGATCCACCATGTTTTACGCCCCAGAAACTAGAAATTTTGAATAAAAATTCCAGTTTTAACCAAAAACAAGTTCAAAATATAGTTTTAAATCAATTTGCATCAAACTGTTATTTCATCGCGAAGACATTGCGCTTATAGAAATGTTTCTATGCTTTTCGCCATTTTTCCCGCGTAACAAAATGATAAATCCACCTTGATTTAACAGCTTTATTTTATAGTTTGGGGTTCCTGGGGCGAAAAACATCGTGGATCTATCATTTTGTTACGCACTGTATACTTGCAGACCTCCAAAATTGGTGGGTAGGTAAAATCGACTCTGGGGAACCAAGTATTAAAAATTCAGCTACAAAGTTCCAAGATTACGGTAGTTATATTGTTTTTAATATTTGGTAAGATTTAGACGAGATAGGGTTTCTCTACACGATATTGTGAGCTTAGTTAGCACTTGAAGGCTTAGTTAGCACTTGAAGGCTTAGTTAGCACTTGAAGGCTTAGTTAGCACAATGAAGCCTTTACGCGGTGGGGTAGTGGTCGTGCGTTCATTTACAAAGCGGAGGCTCTCGGGTTCAAGTCTGTTCTTTTAAAAGTGCTAATTTTGTGCTCTTGGTGGCACCAAGATCACCAAGCATTTGGCGAACGGCGCGGGCATATAGTTACAAGAAGCACTGTTCAACCCTTTTCAATGACTGAATTTTGAATATATTTTTAATGTTATGTGATTTCTTTTGTAAGTCTTACACCCTTCATTTCATGATCTAAATGAACAAGTCTACTACAAAATACAAACTACAGAATACAAACTACAAAACTCCAATTTTCTTTCATTGTAAATGTTTATCGTTTACTTTTTGTCATCTTAAAACAATTTTTAGGATTTTAAAATAATCCGCGAGAACGAAAACTGGGATTTTTAAAAATATTTAAAAATGAGCCCATAAAGAAAACTGCTAAACGGATAATCCTGAAATTTTCGTTGTAGACCTAACTTTTTGTACGCTATCTTTTTTATTATGTCATCAAAATAATTTCATTGAAAGAAACGGTCCAAATCGAATCATCGGACCTTGTCGGAAAGCGCGGGGCTTCTTTGTTGTATCTCCAAGCGAGATCTCTAAGTTGTGCTGAGCTTAAGCCATTTCCCCATATTTTGGCTAGAAATAATTATAGTGGGGGTATAACCCATAAGAACCAACCAAAAGAACCAAAAGAACTACCATTTTGTGCGCTATCTTTTTGATTTTGTCACTAAAATACAGTCATGTGCAAAAGTCTCTTCACATTCAATTTTCTGAAAAGTTTCATCAATTCTCTTTGATAAAGTTCATGGCGCTCTTTAAGCCATTAATAGCTTTAGTTACACAAATATATGTACAATTTATTTACACGAACGTTATCGGTATACAACACTTATTCATTGAGAAAAAAGTATAATTTTCAAAACACCCCGGAAAATCGCGGTGCAAAAGTCTTTTCACACAAAACGAAATTAAGCTTTAAATATTTTTAAGCTTTCAAAAAGGATCCGAATTTGACGTTGAACGATGGATTCATTCTTTTCAAACAAACTTCAAACAGGAATATTTCCCGCTGGACCTTGCATCGACGCTTGCTTCAAGCAGCATTGTATGCTAGAAAACCTGCTTTCAAGCCTATGATGACAGCCAAACACAGGAGGCAGCGCCTTCAATTTGCTCAAACCTATTCAAATTGGACAATCGATGATTGGGCCCGAGTGATTTTTGTTGATGAAACCAAAGTTGATATTTTTCCTTCAAATCGAAATCATCTGATCCGACGTCCAATTGGAAAGCGATATCAACTCAAGTACTTGCAACCCAAGGTGAAAACAGGCGGAGGATCAATTATGTGTTTCGGTAAGGATAATTTTCTTTTTATACAGCTCAAAACGATTTCTTTAGGTGCTATGTGTAAAAGTTCAACAGGTCCGCTGGTCCCCGTAAAGTCAACAATGGATTCCCACCAATATATTGAGATATTGGACAGATGTCTACTTCCCTTTGCGACTGCTTCGATGAATCCAGGATGGTTTCTTTATCAAGATAATTCGCCAGTACACAAAAGCAAACTTTTGATGGGTTGCGTTGTGACTCTTTCGATGGACATTTACCGGGATGGTTTGGAATCAATCACGTTTCTTTAATCGAGGCTCCACCATTCTCACCGGATTTGAATGTCATTGAGAATTTATGGGCTTATTTGAAATTAAAATTGCGAGGAAAACGATTCAATTGTAAAGTCGAGCTATGGTTTTACATCAGAAAAATTTGGAGGACGATTGGACCTGGCATTCTAGATGAATTAATTGCGTCGATGCCTACTCGTATTAAAGAAGTACTTTTGGCAAAAGGAGGAGCGACTAAATATTGATTAAAGCTTAATTTCGTTTTGTGTGAAAAGACTTTGCACCGCGATTTTCAGGGGTGTTTTGAAAATTATACTTTTTTCTGTTGTATACCGATATAAGTGTTGTATACCGATAACGTTCGTGTAAATAAATTGTACATATATTTGTGTAACTAAAGCTATTAACGGCTTAAAGAGCGCCATGAACTTTATCAAAGAAAATTAATGAAATTTTTTAGAAAATTGAATGTGAAAAGACTTTTGCACATGACTGTATTTTAATGACAAAATCAAAAAGATAGCGCACAAAATGGTAGTCCTTTTGGTTCTTTTGGTTGGTTCTTATGGGTTATACCCCCACTATAATTATTTCTAGCCAAAATATGGGGAAATGGCTTAAGCTCAGCACAACTTAGAGATCTCGCTTGGAGATACAACAAATAAGCCCCGCGCTTTCCGACAAGGTCCGATGATTCGATTTGGACCGTTTCTTTCAATGAAATTATTTTGATGACATAATAAAAAAGATAGGGTACAAAAAGTTAGGTCTACAACGAAAATTTCAGGATTATCCGTTTAGCAGTTTTCTTTATGGGCTCATTTTTAAATATTTTTAAAAATCCCAGTTTTCGTTCTCGCGGATTATTTTAAAATCCTAAAAATTGTTTTAAGATGACAAAAAGTAAACGATAAACATTTATAATGAGAGAAAATGTGAAAAGACTTTTTGCACATGACTGTAGGTTTCATTGGAAGAAATGATCCAAATCGAATCATCGGACCTTGTCGTTTGAACACTCGGCTTCTTACTAATGAAAAACCTTCAAAACAAAGCTTTTCAAAGACTTTCAAAAGTCATATGCAAGACAAACGATTGGGCTATCCAATGAAAAAGCGTATTTCATTTGGTAGCTTGGGACTTATTCAATTAGAAAATGAATTTGGGCGAAAGACTTGGTACTCAACCTAATAGAATGCAATATTGAGAAAAATGACAGTCAAACAACTTGGTAAACATTAAAAACTAAAAACGGCTGCTTGGAGGTCAGTTTAAAACTTTAAATTGGAACTCTTGTACAGGATGGCCCAAAATTACCTGGAATAGGGTGTATGATCTTTGGCAGTAGCTTTTTGCCTGCGTAACAAATGATTTGTAATCGTTTTATATTTTGCTATTAATTCTATGGTTGTTGATTGTTTTCCGTATGTTTTTTATGTATTGATAAGCAAAATTTTAGAATGATCAAGAAATCGATGCATAGAGAGTCGATCATCAACCTACATCCAAAGGAAATCTCTCCACTTGATATTTCTCGAAGATTAATGGCTCACTATCGAGCAATTTATTAATAAAGAATCGAGCATACGCGAAAGCTCAACCGAATCAAACAGTTCTCGTTCTGGGTATTCGAAGTCTGTGACGGTCTTCGCCGGAGTCACTTCGGATGGCAAGACTCCGCTTATCTTCGTCCGCCAAGGAATCAAGGTCGATGCCCAGAACCATTTGGAAATATTAAAGAAGGAAGTTTTCCCATGGGCTCAAAATCACTTTGGGAACAAAATTTGGTGCTATCAACAAGATGGAATCCCTGCTCATAAGGCCCGCGTTGTGCAAAACTGATGCCAACGAAATTTCCTAGATTTCATCGCTTACAATCAGTGGTCACCGTCATCGCGGACTTAAACCCGTTAGATTCTTCAGTATGGAGTGTTCACGAAGCAAAGCATGTTCCAAGTCTCATTTCAACATCGATTCACCTAAGAAATCCCTTCAGTAAGAAAGCTTGAGATGGAATCGATGTCCCCTACTTTTCTGCCATTGTTGGTGCTTTTCCGAAACGGCTCGATGCCTGTGTTGCCGCACATAGAAATCTTTTTGAAAATAAGTGATTGATCTTGTTAAAATATTGCAAAAGAATACATTGTTATGTTTTTATTTTTGATTCAAGAAGAAGTGATTCTATAAACTTTGGTTGTATCGTTTCGGGTAGTTTTAGGACACCCTGTACAGTTGGTTCTCAATGATAATTTGTATACAGACGAATCTCGTTAGTAAATAATCAACGAGATCAAAAAGAATCGATTTACTAAAAAGATTATTTATTAGCGAGGTTCAGAAAGCACTATATTGGATCATTGGGACCTAAAAACCGAAATTCACTTCGCTATTGGGGTTTATTTACTATTAAGTTGCGTTTTAAAAATGAAGCTCTAAAATAATTAAGTTCTTCGTACTTATACACTGGTCAAAAGACATTTTAATCTATGTCAAAGAACATAAATCATACAAAAGAAATTGGAACATTACTCATTTATTATCTATTATCTAAGATTTTGCAGTTCAATTGTCCCCATTTGAATCAAGACGTTGGGTGAAATTTCTCCAGATCAAAGCTGTAATCGTCGACACAACTATTTTACTTGCCTTGCTTGGTGTTGTATTTTATGGTTGTTATTTTAAGAAAATCTGTATGGGGAGTTACATCGATTGTCAGGTGAGCTGGTGAAATATTTGAAAGGCTGAGGGTAAGTAGATTTAAAGTAAACTTTTGCTTTTAGATGATTTGAGGTGATTTGAGGTGTTAGGCTAGGTCAAACATGTTGAATTTGTGACTGAATTATTGTTACTAAACATAACTCTACCTTAATCTAGGGTGATTTTAATGGTATCGACTCCAGTGATTTCGTTGATGAACAAGTAGTTTTCGTCTTTCAAAATGGACCCCTCGTTGTCACCGCATATTCTTTTTGTGCTATTATCTTCTTCATTCAAATTGTGACATGCTTATTTTTAAGCTATTTGGGTGTTAGTCAAACGATGCGCACACGTCATTTGAAAAATCATAATGAACATTCAAGAAAGACGGTCGAGATGCAGAATTACTTCTTGTTGATCTATTTATTACAGGTACATTGATTTTTGTTTCTAGCTGTAGCTATAGCTTTTTTACTGTAGCTTGAATACTATTGGGTGAGCACTTTAAACCCGATTTCAAAACACTAATTTATCGATTCAGTTTAATAAGCCCTAACAAGGGATTGTTGTTTATTTATCACCGAGTTTCGAAGTGGAACCTAAAAAATGTTTCGCTGATTCCGAATATCTAAGTCGTTTTTGTGTAATGGATTCAAATTTTCGACTTAAATCCGTTTGAACTTGTGGCATATGTCGTTGACCACCACATCCAGTTGAAATCCATTGATCCAGTTAACATTTCCTTGTGAATAGCTTTTAACTTTACTCTAAAGTGTTCAATTAAATCGGTAAGCTAATTAAATTGTAAAATCAGACCTATCTACACAATAATATTCAAATTATGATTTGTAATTTTAGATGTTCAACACATCCTTCACCTTTTTATTACCGTGCTTTATGCTGATCTTGGCAATGCTTAACATAAGTATTCTACCAGAGTTTGGTAAACAGTTTAGTAATATCAACAATCCCCTTTCTTTCAGTCAGTTCGTCTTTTGTCCTATTCATGTATTTTCACTCGGCTTTCAACTCGTTGATCCTCATATTTTCCACGAGAACCTACAGACAAGTGCTTTATGGATGGTGGTTGAAAGTGTATTCGCTTATTTCAAGAAAAGCAACCAGTGAGTGTTTCCTGTCCCTACTTTTTCCCACTATTCTGTCTTTAATTTGCCTAGATACTTGAGTTAACATAAAATTGCTTCAATAGATGTCTTCATGAGTACATTTAGACTCCTATTATTCCACTATCTCTAGTTTGCATTATAGATGAAAATAAGCATTTGTGTAAATCAGAGTGATAACTGTATCAATTCAGCTTCACGCTAAATGCAAGCGATAGGAGATAGCGGAGTTATGAAAAAGCCAGAATTTCATCGCTGCAAAGCTATTGTGTCCACCAAAAAACTGTTCCAAGATCATAAATTTAAAATAAGCCATCAATTTAGCAAACTGGCAATCGATTAATAGGGTTTTCGTTGAGTCGACAAGCACGAATGGCCATCGAACGACGAGATCATAAAACATGAAGAAACTTGTTAAAACTTTATGTGGAACTAAAGTGAAATACTTCACAATTCGTTCGACAGATGGAGAGGTTCTCTGTTCTTACAAAACACTTCAATATAATGACATTGTCCTCGTCAATGATTGAGATTAGGTGAAAGGGTCGGAGATGGGCCAAGAGTTGGGAACTAATTGAAACATTGATGTATGGCATTTGTTATGAGAATAAAAGCTTAACAAAAGCGATTACTTAAACGAAATGACCTAAAAAATAGCATTAAACTTGACAATAACTAATCAGAATGTTAAGTGAACATTGATTTTGTTTTGACAAACCCAGTACGAAACCCAGTACGAACACCCATTGAACAAATTAATAATAAAAAAACCTATATAACGTCACTTTTTACTTAAATTACGCATCATTTTGTTTTTTAAATGACGTCTTTAAATTTCCCAATCTTGTACGCCATACGCCCACGAGCTCAAGGAAATCTGGTGCTCCGTATGCTCATTTAAATTCTGATTTTTGATATCCAAGTTCGACTCTAAAGTTCATAGAAGAAGGACAATCTAATAACACCTGGCTACCGGTAAATTTTCTTTAAATTTGCTCCCTTTTTTCCACTTCTTCCATCTTCAATCAAAATCGGTTTTCACCTTTGCTCAATCTTTTGAATCAAGCATTCATACGATTTTCAAGTTTTTCAAAGTAGATTTGATCTATTTTACAGTAATCTTACAATCTGGTTCGTAATTTGTGCTCAAACATGTTGAAAATCTTCATTTTATTCAATCACTTAAGGAAAATAAGGAAAACAAGTGCGCCAGGGGTTCGTGTTTGTTCAAGCACAAAGTACGACGAGAACATGGAACTACTCTACCCTTTTTCATTACTATTCACTCAGCTTTTTTCTAATAATTCAAATGTTTACTTTCAGAAGCTCTAAAATCAGTCTCAAAAAATGAAAGCCCTGCAAATGATTCTCATCGTTGTTTTATTTTTCGCTCTCATTGCTCAAAGGTGAGTCAAATGATCAAATTTTTAACTCAAAATTCTGTAGGAAAAGAAAGTGAAAGGATAGAGAGATTAAGAAAGGAATTTGTATGGTTTAGGATTGTTTCAGTGAATCCACTCCATTGGTGTCTCGACGAATGAAACGACGTTTGATAATGCGACAACCAATGATGGATATCCCCTTTGAGGATGTTCTCGATATACACAATTTGGGAGCAAGCAAGAGAAAACTATGGTATTCAGCTGATTATCTTTACAATTCTTTAATAGAAACAAAGAAGTAGTCTGTCTTTGAACTGATCTGATTGATCTAAGAAAACCCCCGAGGCTTGTCAGAAGCCAAATCAGACCTGATCTGACCTGACTGGCTTACAGACTTGGTTTAAATCCTCCTAATAGAGATACCGTATTTTCTCTAATAGTAGCACACCGTGAGCGTTGCCTAAATTGCTCGAAATCTCGAGAACCGCTTATCAGAACCTATCGATGTGGGGTCGGAAAATGTAGCTGACGATGAGATCTTGCGGGGGATTAGAGTGTTGAGTTTCTGCCAAAGCTTGGAAATCCGTAAAATTGTCACCAACTCGGCTCGTTGGGCTGTACCACTATTAGAGAAAATACGGTAATCGAACGAAATGCTTAATCGGCCTATAACCAACATATACAGGCCTATAACCCACCGATAAAGTAGAACTCTCGCCCATTGTACTCTGGGAATCTCTGGTAGAAAGAATTGATGGCTATTACGACATCAACTGCTGTCTATACAAGAATACATGAGTTATTTCTAAGTCAGTCATTTTTCTTTACAATTACCTTATTATCATTCCAAACTTGATCATCAAAAACATTATTGGCACGGTAGGAGAAGCCGACGTCTCGGGGTGATTCGATCCAGAGAATGTTGGCGAAATGAAGCGTTTATTATTGGGGAAAGTTAAATTTAGCAGTTAATATTTATTATATTAGGTTGATGCATAAGTCTTTTCGTTCCTTTTCGTCTGCCGTTTCAAACCAACAAATGCACCAATTAAACTACGGTTGATTTCATTAGAAAAACCAATTATTTTTCTGCAAAATAACATTAAAACGGGTTTAAAAATATTTTATGCCTGGATTTTCTTGAGAGTATGAAGTCGGGTAGTCAAAAAGGGCTAACTCGATGATGCGGTTTAGACACCTTAGCTAAAGAAAACCTATCTTCGTGTCAATAGATAAAAGATAGAGAAAAAAAGTTTGATATTTCGCCCAAATTTCAGAGAAATTCATTCAGCCAATTTTTCCGTAGAGTTTTTATAGATTTTTACGAAAAAGGCGTTTTTCACTCTCGAATTTGCTTGAAAGTGAACCGAAATTGATTTAAAAAGATGGAAATTGAACAAAAAAACACTTTTTTTATAGAGCAAACTATAGATTAATTGGTGAATTTGTTACTTTTTAACAGAAGTACGAAAAAAACGAAAAGACTTATGCATCAACCTAATATATTGTATCCAGATTCAATTCATTGATATTCAAGGCACATCAGAAATTGAGGTTACCCTATTTTCTCTAATAGTAGCGCACCGTGAGCGTCGCCTAAATTGCTCGAAATCTCGACAACCGCTTATCAGAACCTATCGATGTGGGGTCGGAAAATGTAGCTGACGATGAGATCTAGTGGGGGATTAGAGTGTTGAGTTTCTGCCAAAGCTTGGAAACCCGTAAAATTGTCACCAACTCGGCTCGCCGGGGTGCACTACTACACTCTGTCAAAAAATTATAGACGCACCCTGTTTTTTGCTAGTTTAAAGCCGGATATAAGTGCTAGTTCAGTGAAAAGTATTTTTTAGTTTCTTTAATGTAAAAAAACCCATGCAAAATTTCAAGTCATTTCACTCATTCAAAGTATTTTATCGCACAAAAAACGTTTTATCAGCTGTCAAAAAATTATAGACGCACTTTTATTTGACTATTTATTCTATCGATAATTGTTAGTTTTTTCTCATTTTTTTTGCTTATTAGTTATGTTTATAAATGTTATTTCATTTTCAGATATGCCACTTGGAAAACAACTGGATGTGGTGGAAAAAACGCGTACCGATGTGCTCCACACGCTTGGTCACTCAAACAGGGACATTGCTCGTCACATCGGACGTTCTGAGAAGTGTATTCGCACGTATCTCAAGACCAGAGTGACTCCTAAGAAGAAAGAAATACGGAGCTGGAAGAGAAACTGACCGATGAAGATGAACGCGCAATTACGAGACATCTTTCCAACACGACCACATCACTCGAAGAGGTTCGCAAGGAGATGAAGCTTCCGGTCACTCGCCAAACTGTGACAACGTTGTCAAAGGATCTACAATATTCAAATACAAACTCATGAAGCAAGCTCCACGACTTACAAAGGATCATAAAGCCGCCCGTATCAATTTCGCTCAAAAGAACTAGAAGACCAAATGGGAGGGAGTTGGTTTACTAGTATCTCTTATATATTTTATGTTTAGATCATTTGGAGTGACGAAAAGAAGTACAACCTTGATGGTGCTGATGGTTTTCGAGGATATTGGAAGGATTCACGAAAGCCGGGCATGGTCTTCAGCACGAGGGACTTTGGAGGTGGATCTTGTATGGTATGGGGAGCCTTTCGAGACGGTGAACTGGTCGGCTTAGAGTTTATTTCGACCCGGATGACGCTTGACTATCAACAAGTGTTGGACAAACATCTAGCCGTCTATCTGAACAACAATCCGGGCAATAACTTTACTTTTCTGCACGATAACGCGAGTATTCATGCAAGTTGCTCCACAAGAGATTGACTGACAGCGCACAAGATCGGCACTGTCGCTTGGCCCGCTTGCAGCCCAGACTTGAACTCGATTGAGAATGTGTGGGGGACACTCGTTCGAGATGTCTAGAAGGGAAACAAGCAATATTCGAGCGTGAATGAACTCAAGAAAGCCATTCAAGTAGCCTGGAATCGGCTTCAGCCAACAGCGCTCCATGACCTTATCTCTTCGATGCCGAGACGTCTTTTTGAAGTTGGACTAAAGCAAGGAGGTGCCACACATTATTTGGTTTGTGTTGTTATTTTTATTTCTGTTAACTTTTTCTTGATAAAATAAAAGTGCGTCTATAATTTTTTGACAGCTGATAAAACGTTTTTTGTACGATAAAATACTTTGAATGAGTGAAATGACTTGAAATTTTGCATGGGTTTTTTTTACATTAAAGAAACTAAAAAATACTTTTCACTGGACTGGCACTTATATCCGGCTCTAAACTAGCAAAAAACAGGGTGCGTCTATAATTTTTTGACAGAGTGTATTAGAGAAAAAAAACAGTAATTAAAATAATCTCTATCACAATCGTATGAAAAACATTTCAGGCACTCACACAAAGCGCAACTTCTTCCCAATCTCGGCTATCTACGAGCTCTGGTAGTCCCCAACCACCCCTTCCCCATTCGCAAAGTAGTACCCTAATCTATAAATATCATTATATTGAATAAGCTTCAAGATGTTTTCTTTTCAATTTTGACATTTTTTGGTTTTCTTTCTTGGGTTTCTTGATCGATCTCAAGCCTTTTCAAATCTCATTAGCATTCGTTTTCGGTTAATATTTTTTTCGGTTTTCAAATCTGTGCTAACATCTGGTTTTTGTTCTTTTAGGGCTATAAAATAAATCTTTATGGGGTATTGGAAGCTTTAAAAAGTTTAACGAATTGTGTTTTCTCTTGTGGCCTGAAATGGTCTAAAATGAAGCTTTTTCGAAAAGTAGAAGCTCTAGAACAAACAGACGAACAAACAAAAAGGGTTCTTTTATGTTAGTTTCATATAACTTTAATTGGTGGTATTTTCTAACGGAAAACCCGGGCATGGCCATTACCAGAAACACAGAAAATAAACATTTGTGAACCCTCAACTTAAAAGTCACTCAAGACTTCAATAATCAGTTCAATTCAAAATCCTTTGCACTATTTTGTAGAGGAGATTCAGGGCTTTAGAACAGTATACAACACGGATCGGCTGAGGCTTGCAATCCTTTTATTTTTGGAATGATATGTGAGCGCTGGTTTCATTGCCCACCACCCTAATATGAGATTGGCAACTTGAAAGTCGGTATAGTTATTCATTTGACTTTTTAGAAATAATTAGTGCACCAATTAATCTACCGTTTTGACCAATAAAAAGGCCTATTTGACAGATTTAGAAAAGCTTTGGTTTTTGGAGGTTTCGAGGGGGCAAGAAGTTGAGGAACGAAAAAAAGATGAACACTCGATGAAGTGATTTGTGCACTTTCTTCCACATGAACCTATTTTGGTGTAAATAGAAAAAAGGTAGAGCATAAAAAGTTAGGTGTATAGCCAAATTTTCAGCTAAAACTAATCAATTATTTATGTTATCGTTCTATTTGAAGAATTTAAACTTTAGTACAGATGAATCTTTATTACAAATATTCATAGTATAAGTTACAATGGATATAAATATTATTTTCCTGGTGGTGGTGGAGGAGCAGTGTAGCAAAGAACAGCCTTCACTAATCCCTTCTTTGCTGGATTTGCCTGGAAATTTTCAAAATTACGAAAAAGTTAAAATCAAAAGGTTTCCTTTTTGATTAATACAGTGAAATCTCGATAGTAGCCGGTTTTTAAAAATCCCTAAATTGTTAACTTCACTGTACAGGGTGACCCAAATTATAGCAACCAGTTTTTAAAAAACTATTCTTTTCCAAAACTTTCTACAGAAAGTAGCATGTATTATATACCATTTAAAAGCTCTAATTCTTAGCATCATTAATATATTAAAGATTTTTTAGTCAGAGCTAATTCTTGACCCTTCTTGGCCTTCGGAAAGAGTTCGCTTTTAGCTCGGAATAAGCTCCGAATAAGCTCGCTTTTAGAAAACTATTCTTTTCCAAAAAACTTTCTACAGAAAGTAGCATGTATTATATACCATTTTAAAGCTCTAATTCTCAGTATTCTTAATATATTAAAGATTTTTTAACCAGAGCTAATTCTTGACCCTTATTGACCTTCAGAATGAGCTCCCCGCAAGCACCCCACGGCGAGCTGTCATTTTTCGTGGTTTTGAATGTAAGAAATGTTTTGAGAAGGTTTTTTTCAATTGAATAACCTTTTCCCAATTCTTTTGGTTTAAATCAAGGTAAGCGTTAACCGAGCATGTGCAAATCGCTTGTTAAAACGGGCTCAAAACGTGCCGCAAAAAGACCATTTTGCAGCGAGTAATGAAATTCGCGTTTTTCCGGATGTCTGGTTCTGCTGATCGAGGCACTTTTGGATGTGATTTTGGTTTTAGGGTATTGAATTCAATTAAGTTTAATAAAATTTCTACAAATCTAATCGTGTTTCCTGTTTTTCAAGGACGAATTTTTACGTAGAAAGCCGCGAAATGATAGCTAGGGATACGCAAGGTGAGCTCATGTCAATGGCTCATGTCAATGGCTCATGTCAATGGCTCATGTCAATGGCTCATGTCAATGGCTCAGGTCAATGGCTCAGGTCAATGGCTCCTGTCAATGGCTCAGGTCAATGGCTCATGTCAGCCAGTAAGGGTCAAAAATTAGCACTGGCCAAAAAATCTTGGCTTCAGTTTTTTTAAGTCTCAACTCTTTCTAGTAAAAAAAGTTTAAGATTTGAAATGAAAATTGGAATCGATTTAATCAAAGCAATACCTTTTGCAATACCTTTTACAATACCTTTAAAAAAGCAATACCTTTTGCACACTGTACCATTCTCCTTTTTGGCATCGATATTCGCTGTTTTTTGTCGGTGATGGCCCAAGGGTTGAACTACTGAACGAGTTCTTTTCAGTGATCTTCTCTAGATCCTGAAAATGAATCAAAATTCATGATCATTGCAGATTGTAAAGAAGATTTACTCTTGTGGTAAGAGAAAAGCTTGTCGGTTTAGGTAAAACGAGTTATTTTAGCGATTAGACCAACTCACATCAGTGAAAGCAATGATAAACGCGGAAGCATGTGTTGGGTTACCATTTGGATTGCACACCGACGACGCCACCATGCATCCGTCGTCTCGGGTCCTGTATTACAAGTAAGTTTGGAGCGAAGAAATGAATTACTGTATGAGAAAGTTTTTCTAGAGTTAAATTGAGTATGGTAAAGGGAAGAACCGATTGATCTTACGTCCAAATCCGAACTAAATGGCCGCTTTGTGTGGTTGTATCTCCAAAACTAGTGGGTCGATTTTGATGATTTTGGTGTTATTTTGTAGAGCAAGACTTATCAATTCGTAAAGTGAAGTTACATGTGGAAAAAGTAAAGTTAGTAAAGAAAAATATGAAATTCGTTACAGTTTCAGACGCTAGTACGGTTTCAGACGCTAGTACTGTTTCGGACGCTAGTACCGTTTCGGGACGCTAGTACGGTTTCAGACGCTAGTACGGTTTCGGACGCCAGTACTGTTTCGGACGCTAGTACTGTTTCGGACGCTAGTACTGTTTCAGACGCTAGTACGGTTTCAGGACGCTAGTACGGTTTCAGGACGCTAGTACGGTTTCAGACGCTAGTACGGTTTCGGACGCCAGTACTGTTTCGGACGCTAGTACTGTTTCGGACGCTAGTACCGTTTCGGGACGCTAGTACGGTTTCGGACGCTAGTACTGTTTCGGACGCTAGTACCGTTTCAGGACGCTAGTACGGGTTCGAACGTAACAGATATAAGAAATATTCTTCAAACCACAGTAACTGGAGCTGATTTACGCAATTTTTGCAAATCTAGTCAGGGTTTAAAGTTAAAAAAATCTAGTCAGGGTTTAAAGTTAAAAAATCTAGTCAGGGTTCATAGTTGAGTTCAAAAATCGACTTGAAATCATTTCAAAGGCTTTGCCGACCTGTACGAGTAAATGATTGGTGCGGAGTGGATTGCGGGTGGAATTCCTTCGATCTCTTTGACATCTCTGTTGAATTGATCGAGATCCTCTTCACAGGAAGTACAATCTAAAGTTTTAGGAATGAGTTGATCATTTTAGAATTTGGCATTCTGTCCATTCTTGCCATTGAGTGAATCGACGCTCACCTGGGTCTCCTCTAAAATTTCAGTTTGAAAATTTGTAGGATTTCACTCTAATAAGAGCACAATTTGAAAGTTAAAGCTTTATAAATTTGACTTTACATATTTACATAGAACTACTTTACTAAACTCACAATTGTGCTCGTTGACAACCCAATGTAAGATCGATGAAGCAAAGTTGAAACAAACAGATGAAAACAGGCAGACGATTCATTGTATGATCGACTTCTTGATCTCTAAAAAGTGCAATAATTTGGCAAAAACCGTGGAATGTGTGCAAAAGTGTGGAATTCATTGCATTGCCTGGCATATATCTCCTCCTCTTCCTAGGAGAACTTGCTCTTCCCTTAGCGCCTCGCTTTTCGAACTTGCAATATTTCATTGGCATTTTATAAGTGATCACATTTGTGTCTAGAAAACATTAAGTTACGAGTGACAGGCACGTAGCGATAGATAAGGGAAAGCTTAGGCAAAGCGACGAAGCAAAAATACTAGCGTCCAAACCGTCCAAACCAAACCAAGGCGACGAAGCAAAAAATGGCGCACACGCAAGAGGCGCACACGCAAGAGGCGCACACGCAAGAGGCGCACACGCAAGAGGCGCACACGCAAGAGGCGCACACGCAAGAGGCGCACACGCAAGAGGCATTTGCATTAAAGGAATAGAAAGAAAGAAAGAAAGAAAGAAAGAAAGAAAGAAAGAAAGAAAGAAAGAAAGAAAGAAAGAAAGGAAGAAAGACAAACAATGTAAATCTTTATAAACTAATGAGTGATGAGTTGGACAGTCATTGACAAACCTGATACTTCTGCAAAACCAAAAGTAAATCAAAATCCAATCAACAAACTATTTTCAATCAATTCAACGCTTTAAAGCTTAAAAACATTAACTGGATTGCATTATTTTATTAAACATTTAATAGATAAATAGATAAATATTGGGTTGGTGAATTGCAAAGTGCCGGCTGTTGTCATATGTCACAGTTTGAGCACTTTCTTCAAAAGAAACCCATTTTGGTGTCAATGGAAAAGTTGTAGAGAATCCAAAATTAAGCTTATATCCAGATTTACAGAACGATTCAAAAACTGGTTTTCTAGAAATGCTAAATTCACGAATTTTCACAAAACTTGCATTTTAAGCGAAACTACTAAGTGTATCTTTTTGGAAATTTGGCTATAATTGATTCTCTGCAACTTAATTTTTGATTCTCTACGACTTTTCTATTGACACCAAAATGGGTTTCTTTTGAAGAAAGTGCTCAAACTGGGACACCTCCAGTCTTCCATTCTCAAAGTTCAGTCCTCCATTTTTGAGTCTCACACTTGTCTCACACACAGACCAAAATCCTACTACGAAAGAGGAATCCGCAAATTGCCTGTAAAATGGGCAGAAGTTGTCAATAATAATGGAAATTATTTGGAATGAATTCATAGTTTTATGTTCAATAAATTTTAGTTCAAAGTCCAGCAGTTTTCAATTCACCAACCCAATATTAGCTGACTAAGTACTCTTTCGCGATTTTAAAGTCACTGGCAAATTTTCCAGTTATGTTTAAGATAAGCCATTGTTGGATTTTACTATTTTCCATCATGATTTAGAGAAATATTTGATATCTAGCCTTGTGGCATTTTATGGAAATCAAGTGCGATCTCTTTCCTCGTTGTTTCGATTCTTCGCCTTTGCTCAAAAACTGGCTATAGATTGTCCTTTTCTTTTCTTTTTCGTTTCGATTTGTGATCTTTTAGGTGTCATCTCATTTGGCGGGGAAAAGTGTGAAGAGGCGTTTACGGTATAATATATTATTTATAAAGCATCACAAATCATATTTCTATGTGAGATAGTAGCAAGATAATCCATCAATTTCACTCGCACTCAACTCTGTACTCTATTTGTTTTATGCATGAGTTTTGTACGATAAACAACTGCTACAAAGTGATCGCCCAGCAATAGAAATTTGCGAATTTGGCACTTTGTTTATTGTTCTTCACATTCCGAGACCCATTCGTGTCGATTTGAGTCGTTAGATCTCATTCGTGTCATCTCATTCGTGTCATCTCATTCGTGTCATCTCATTTGTGTCATCTCATTCGTGTCATCTCATTCGTGTCATCTCATTCGTGCTGTCCTTCCATTCTCGAGACCCATATTTGTTTACGTTTTCTTTTAAAGTTCAAATAAACTGAAAGCAAAGAAGTATTTCTTTTGTAGAAGATCAAGAATTTAACAAAATATTTATATACAATTGAGGTGTGAATTTTCTACTTTCATTTTTTCGAGCTTAACTTCTGGAGTCGACGCAGGAGCTCCTGGCCGACAGCCGCTCGGACATGCGGAGGGAAATAGTGGGTCATCTTGCCTGAAAAAAGTTTGACTAGTGAAAATTTGATAGAAATTTTGTGAATCACCGTAATCTTACAATGACTTTTTGAACAAAAATATTAGATTGGCAACTTGAAAGTTGGTACACTTTTAAGTTGGTAACACGTATTTTCCATAAAACATTTAATACGACAAGCCTAAGCTTTAAAACGAAATTGGATTACTTCAAAAAACCTCAAAAACACTAAAAGAAAGGATAAACTATCTAGTTTTCAAAGTTGAATCAGAGTAAAAAAGAAAACCGTTCAATTTAACAAATTTCAAATTTAAGCGTTGCATACAAAAATCCAAAATCATTCATCGTCCGAGTCATTCCGAGTCATTACGATTATGAGAGTCATTACGAGTCTACTGTATTCTAAGAGAAGGATACCCCTCAAATCGTTATCGCATCTTTCCAATGATCTCCGTGTCACCAATGTATCCTGTTATAAACACCAATATACACCGATAAATATCTCCTGTTTATCTTAAGGTCAATGGAAGAACTATTAGATTTTTATTAGAATTTTTATTAGATTTTTATTGGATTTTTTATTAGATTTTTTATTATTATTTTATTAGAACTTGAAAATTGGTACGGATTTCGGATTAACCCAAGAAAAAAAGGCGGTTTTTACAAATTTGCTTTTAAATAGCGCTATGATTAGATTGGCAAATTAAAAGTCGGTACACCTCTACGTATTCACCATAAAACATATTTAATGCGCCATTTGAATTAAACTTCTCGAAATAAAAGTTATATATTTTCTAATTTAAGACATATTTAAGCAAATTTGAACAACTTTTGCGACGAATTTGAGCAGAAATTCAAGTTTTTCTTGAAATTCTTTAAATAGAACGATAACATAAATGATTGATTAGATTTAGCTGAAAATTTGGCTATACATCTAACATTTTGTGCTCTATCTTTTTTCTATTTACACCAATATAGGTTTATGTGAAAGAAAGTGCTCAAATCGCTTCATCGAGTGCTCATCATTTTTGGTTCCTCAACTTCTTGCCCCCTCGAAACCTCCAAAAACCAAAGCTATTCTAAATCTGTCAAAAGCCTATTTTAGAGAATAAATAGGCCTTTTTATTGGTAAAAACTGTAGATTAATTGGTGCACTAGTTATTTTTAAAAAGTACAATGAATAACTATACCGACTTTCAAGTTGCTAATGTAATATTAGAGTGATGGGAATGAAATCAGCGCTCACAGATCTTTCCAAAAATAAATTGCATTCCATTCCAAGCCTCAGCCAATAAGTGTTGTATACTGTTCAAAAGCTCTGAATCTCCTCTATAAAATAGTGGAAAGGATTTTGAATTGAATTGATTATTGAAGACTTGGATGACTTTTAAGTCGAAAGGTCAAAAATGAGCATTTTCTGGAAAATGTATTTCTGGTAATGGCCATGCCCGGGTTTTCCGTTAGAAAATAACGCCAATTAAAGTTATATGAAAATAACATAAAAGAACTCTTTTGTTTTTTCGCCTTCTAGAGCTTCTGTTTTTTCTTCATTTTAGGCCTTTTCAGGCCACAAACGACCATTTTAGCTTTTGATTTTAGGCCAACATCATCTCTGTGGCTTGAGCCCGTTTACTCGTTTGGTTTCATGAGTTTCTTGCTGCCCCTACGAACCGAAATCCTTGGGATGAATCCAAAAATTCAGCACCCTTTTACAGGCACTTGGGATCCCATTTCGACCGACGAAGAACTCGCCATAGTGGTCAAAATGAGCCGGGACTGGGTTGACCAATTCTACAGCCGAATTGGTTGGTTTTGGGAAGCGGTGACCACATGGGGCAGACAACGGATTGGTTACCGGATGACCCAAAATGGACGCTTCCGGTTTCAGGAGTGAAAAGGGAGTATATCCCCAGGCGTAGTAGGCCAGATCGAGTGCGATTGTGCTCGCGCACAGGGAACACATAGCGATCCTCTTTTGTGCATTTTAAATGGGTTTTCGCGGTTGGGGAATTGATTGACAGTGTTAGTTTTAATGTTTTTCTTGTCCAAAATCAATGATTTCAATAAATTTCCCATTGAAGGATGCTTCTAACTTCTCAAGCAATGTCTCATCTCTTCTTTGTAGCTTATATTTTCCAATTTAAACTTTTTAAACTCATCATTTTTGGTTCCTCAACTTCTTGCCCCCTCGGAACCTCCAAAAACCGAAGCTATTCTAAATCTGTCAAAAGCCTATTTTAGAGAATAAATAGGCCTTTTTATTGGTAAAAACTGTAGATTAATTGGTGCACTAGTTATTTCTAAAAAGTGTAGCAACTTTCAAGTTGGTATCTAGTAGACAATCTAGTAGATCAATCTAATAGACACAAACCTCGATAACAAAAAACTTAAGGGATTTCGAAGACCGTTTTGTTATCAAGGTTTGTGTGCTATTGTGGCTTTAGCTATCGAGGTTTGACTGAATTTAGCTTGTATCACTTTAGATTGTATCACTAAAGTATTATTTTAGCAAGTTGTTTGTACAAAAGAATACGGTAGAAGTTGTTCGGCAGAGGCGTTGCAAACGGAACTAGGCTAGGTAAAGGCACTGGGTCAAGTCGTAAGTATAGCAATTTTATACTAATAGTAAGCCTAGCTTTGAGTCAGATCATGAGCCAGATCTAGGCTCACTATTAGTATAAAATTGCTATACTTACGACTTGGCCTAGTGCCTTGACTTGGCCAGATCTAGCCTTGGCTTGTTCAACTGAATTTCTCTAACAATTTGTCTAAAATCTTTGCTGTTCAGAGGCTTCTTGATGTCCAAAGGCTAAACACGATTTTTGATTCACTTAATGTTTATCAAAGCTAGTGTTTTCTAACTTCTGATTAAACTATTGAACTAACATTTTAACTGAGACTTTAAACAGCTAGAAATGAACTAAACCTAAGCCTAAACTTTAAACTTTAAACTTTAAACCAATCCGAGTTTAGAAATTAACATTCGAAATAAAAAGTGCTTTTATAAACTTTAGATTTTATTACTTTGGTGATAATCTTTATAAGTTTACTACGTAAATCAACAAATTTAAGTTCATCTTGTCATTTTATGAAACTTCCAATAACCAATTAATTATAATCACGGGTTTTTCCCGCTGAATTTGGCGTCAGAGTCAAGTGAAATCAGAGCACACTTCTTTAAAAGTTCTTTTTGCATTTCTTTTTGTACTAATTTGTTCCCCAGGGATTTTAAGAGCCAGTTTTTAAAAAGAAAAACAACTTTGAGGTAATGAGATGAAAGTGAATGAAATACTGTACCTGATCCGAGTCGTTCTCCAAGATCCTCCCCGTTGTAGAATTTGTTGAAATTGGGTCGGTTCGGCCAATTTGGCATCAAGTATTGGTGTCCTTGTTTCATGCCCGAATAGGGGAATGCTTCTGGAAAATAATAAAGGTAAAAATCTAATAGTAAAGAAAGAAGGCTAAGTTTTTGTTGAGTCCTGAATTCATAGTGTTTGGTTCTTCCTTATCTCCGGCTCTTTCCTTATCTCCAGCTTTTTCCTTAGCTCTAGATTTCATATGGTTCATTTCTAGCTGATTTTTTGAGACAATAAGCAATTGACTACGGTGGTTTGGTCTGTCAAATCAGAATTGAAAAATCCTTAATCGTTCTTGAGTAGAGTGTCTTCCTTGCAGACAACGCGTTTTCTATTGGGCTGGGGAGAATGAGTCGGCGCCAAACTTTAAAGGGACTTTTTGCACACATAAAGCCTTCTTTAAACATACGTTTGGTTTCATCAAAAGGATCCACTATTTCTCTACAAAATGACTTTTGAGAGATTCCACAAAGCTTTTCTTTCGTGGAGTTTATGAACTTCCAAACGCAGCTGGTTAAAATGGCAAAGAGTCCGACTCATCATTTGAACAGTTTCTTTCACATAAACCTTCTTTGGTGTTTATATAAAAAAGATAGAGCACATTCGATTACTTAAGTTGCCAAATTTGCAGGAAGATCCCAGCAATGGTTTTTTCTAGATGACAGTTTGTAGTTGTTATGAAAAAATGGCTTTTTCTTGAGCGGAGGCGCTGTTTGAATTTTCTTTTAAATGTGATTTTGTAGAGAATTAGTTAACCATTCTACTGATATCAAACGCATATTATTTGACGAAGTCTGCTAGAAGTTTTAGACATTTTTTTGATTTTCGGCGCCGACTCATTCTCCCCAACCCAATATAAAGCGCATCCAAATCTAAGCTACCGTAACCCTATGTTTTGCATAAGCAAACTTTTTAAAATGCAAATGTACATTAAAATTTTGCGCTTTTTCTCTACGACTCTTTCCTTAACTTTTTGTTTTTCTTCTCTTTTTCAAACATGCTAAATTGGTAACTCCTACTATTTAAAGTAGCGCGTAGAAAACCGGAATTGTCCCGTGGCCCAATTTTGCAAAAAACGATTTATGATTACGTTTTTGAAATACATCTTTTAGAAGCTTCTAGATTTATCTCATACTTTCACTGCTCGCTTCACCTGAGTGCCGAGTGGACGAAAAGCGAAAGCGCTACAATTCTCAAAGGCCATTTTGAGAAACTCAAAGTTTGCATTTTTCAAAATATGTAAAGCGCTTAATATTCCCATTCAAATCGTTGATCCAGTCAATTTTTCGTATCCAAAAATCTTATTGGCCATCTTGGTGGTTAAATTGGTAATTCCTACTATTTATAGTAGCGTGTAGAAAATCGTGTGATTGTGAGAGAAAAATGGATGCTTTTCCCAGTAATAGGGTAAATTCTAGCAATAGTTGCCTTTACGCTTATAAATCATTTTTAGAGTTTCACAACTCCATCGCGTAGACCTAAAATGCCCTCACTAGCCTGGGATTTTATGTCAAAGTATGTAGATGTGAGCAGCAAAAAGACTCGAGCACTCGAGCACAGCACCATGCCCCAGAAAAGCAATTGCAAACTATTTTAAAAAGCTGTGTAAAATTAAAGAAAACATTTAAAATAGAAAAAGTTAAGAAACGCTATTAAAAACTTATTTATTTATATTATTATTTACGAATTTACTAGGCCTATTGTCTACATTTGCACTAGAACGATTCAAAAACAAATTCCACTCCCTAAAAAGCCTAAAAACCTTAAATAAAACGATCCATTACTACATTTAAAGAAAATTTTGCACATTTTTCGCCCGGTTTTTTATAGCTTTGCTTAATAAGCGCACCTTTTAGAAAACGCATTGTCGGAAGTTTGTCGGATCAATTGTCTGACAAAATGTTGTCAATGTTGTCAATGCAAATTTGTCTGACAAATTTTCTGTCAACAAGGAGCACACTCTATTCTTGAGTAACGTTAAAAAACTGAATTTGGCCTAGATTAAAGGGATTTAGCGGTGAGATCAAAGGGATTCAGCGGGGAGATCAAAGGCTATTTTAAAAGATGAATTTCACAATAAAGACCTCACGATAATGCATCTTGAGCCTTGTTGTGAGAGAATTAACTCAATAACTTTATGATAAACTTTACAGAATTAAAGTTAATCAACAAATGAGGGTAATAAATACTAAATGATACTGTAAAGATCCATCCAATCCTCCTGTCTCACTACAGTAGGCCTGAACAAAAATACAGAGTCTTCAAGAATTACGGGTACTTTTTCTTTAGTGCGTAGCCCCGCCTAGAGTCACCCACTCCTCATCAAACTTTTTTTTAGTAGAATTTACTGCTTATTTTCAACACTTTACTTAATATACTTTACTCATAAACGCAAAATTAACAATTCTATAGCTATAAGACTTCAAATCCCCAAAACTCGAGAGCCTCTGGGATCCTTGTGACCAAATTTTGAGTATAAATAATTACTAAAAAAAGTAGCAAACAGCTTAGGTTTTCTAAATTTATTATTTAGATATTTACAAGTTCATCCACGAGGTAGTCATTATTAAAGTAATTCTTTAAGTTCAAAATTTGCTCACAAGAAGCCGCGTCCCAGTTTTGAAGTTTCTCGAGTTTTGGAGATTTGAAGCTCTATAAAATTTCTAATTTTAGGTTTCTGAGTAAATTATTGAAGTAAATTGTTAGAAATAGGCAGTAAATACTATCAAAAAGTTTGATAGGGAATGGTTGATTCTAAGCGGAGCTATGCACTAGAGAAAAAAGTACCCATAATTCTTGAAAACCCTATATTCAACCAAAGAATAAACCCTTTTTGATTTAATTTAATTTAACGTTTAATACAAGAAATTCAGACTCATTACTTTTACTTTTTACTAGAATACTATTAATTGTCTTACTAGAGCTGTCTTACTACAAGTATTGTCGTAAGACAAGTAACCGACAATGAGATTTTCCTTACAGATTGAGTTGAAGGTGGCACTGAGACAAATAAATCTTCGTTTTACAGTACAACACAAACTACACAAGTCTTATTGCTCTAAAAAAACTTAAGAGCTAAAGTTTTATTGATTGAAGACTTTACAATATCTTCGAGTTGAACAAGAAAGATTGGAGAAGCTGTTGTTTGTTGAGTTGCTTTACAAGACAAGTTGATTTTAGCCAGCATCTACTTCTTATAGGAGTTTCAAAGACAAATTGCACTCCAAATCCAACTTCACTAATAGTTCTCATTCTAGAAATGCTTCAAAACTCACCAGCATCACCTTGTTGAACGATTGCACAAACAAAGAATACCGCCAACCACAGCATTTTAGCCATTTCTCTGAAGTGAAATGCGGAGGCGAAATCAAAGAAAAACCCTCAAATTAAGGCATTTTCAAAAGAATTTCAGGCAATTTTCAATAATTATATATAATTTTATTTCACTTTAAAATAAAACGCAATCAAAACGAAGGAAATGAATTTCAAATGCAATAAATTCATCAAAGATAATAATGAGATTAGAAGAGAGAATACCCGTGAAAATTTGGTTTAATGAATGCAAAATGAGGGCAAAGAATTAGATGTCAAATAAAGTATTCAGGACACGAAAATCTTGCAAAAATTTGCAAAAATTTTCAAAAACTAATCTGTTAATTGAATAGTAGAAAAGAATATGATTTTTTTGATTTGGGGATTGTTCTGTGAAAGGTTCGCATTGTGATTTGCGCTTGAAAATGACTTTCTGCTTTCTGTAAGACTTTTTAGATCGCCTAATAAGAAAATAGAGCTAATCTAGTACTATTTTTTACTCTTATACCACAAAAACAACAACAGTTTTTACTAGTTTACTAGTTTACTAGTTTTACTAGAGTGTTTTCCTCGCGAGTAAGTAATTACTCGAGTAAAATTTGCATGAGTGCAAGCTTTACTCGATTAATCGGCGTTTTTTGATCGAGTAACTACGAGTAATCCTCTTTAAACGTCGAATGTAAATTGAATATCTTGGGGTAGGCTAATTTCCGCAATTTTTTTGCGCAACAGGGTCATTTGCGCCATTTTACAGGCAATTTGCGGATTCCTCTTTCGTAGTAGGATTTTGGTTTGTGTGTGAGACAAGTGTGAGACTCAAAAATGGAAGACTGGAGAGGAGGATGGAGATGTCCCAGTTTGAGCACTTTCTTCAAAAGAAACCCATTTTGGTGTCAATAGAAAAGTTGTAGAGAATCAAAAATTAGGCTTATAGCCAAATTTCCAAAAAGATACACTTAATAGTTTTGCTTAAAATGCAAGTTTTGTGAAAATTCGTAAATTTGGCATTTCTTGAAAACCAGTTTTTGAATCGTTCTGAAAATTTGAATATAAGCTTAATTTTTGATTCTCTACAACTTTTCCATTAACACCAAAATAGGTTTCTTTTGAAGAAAGTGCTCAAACTGTCATATATGACAATAGCCGGCAGTTTTCAATTCACCAATCCAATATTTAGATACAAAATAAACTAGTTGTGATATCTAACAATCAGCTTTGAGTAACAATGAGCTTTGAGTAACAATCAGCTTGATAGTTTACTGGAAAATCATCTAAGCAAAGCGAAGAAATATCAAAAGATCTTACCAAAATATCAAAATACCAAAAGGCTTAGGGAAAAGATCCTATTTCATCTATAAAATGCTAATAACTTTTTTGCTAATTATTTAAAATTAGCATGATTCAATAACACAGAACAAAATGAGACATATTTGCGAAATCTCAAAATAGCCGAGTTTTCATTTTTTTTCAAAGACGGCTACCCATTTTTCACCAAATACCGGAAATCAAAAGTTTTTCTGAAAACCTCAAGTTTTTAAAGGCTATTGACATTTTGCAACTCTGGTTCTATGTAATTTTGAAATTCTAGAATCTTTTGAAGCTTTTCAAGCTCAAAAACCTCAAAGTTTAACGATCAACTTTTGGAAAAACGAATGTTTAAGGTAAAAATTTGAGTTAATCATTTAATTTTAAGTTTAAAAGTTTCAAGAATGACATTTTGAGCTCTTTTAAAGTAGACTTTAGGTCTTTTAAACTAGACTTTAGGCCTTCTAAACTAGACTTTAGGTCTTTTAAACTAGACTTTAGGTCTTTAAGTTAAAATTTCCTGTTTACAACCCACGTTTAGCTATATAAATGAAAATTTCATCAATGAGAGAATCAAATGGGAATCTTGAAAACGAAAGAATTTCCTAAATGATGAGATGTGCAAATGACGGAGTCCCGGGAGGAAAAAAAGAGAAAGAGATTAGATTTCCGGGTGAAAATCAACGGGTAATTGGGCTGAACAAAGACGATCGACGAGGCGGCCATTTAGAGGACTGCGGGGAATTGAAGATGTTGTTGAGGGAAGTGAATGTGAAGAAATGAGTGGAGGACAAGTGGTGAGTGGGAAACGCATGGAGGTGGACGAGGGCGGAAGGGGAGGGAGGGCTTCGCGCGGGAGGGACACCTGTAAGCGTAAGATCTTTTATTAGATTAGCTATCTCTTTTCATTTTTGTTTGTTGTTTTCATGTTTTCATTTTTTCTAAAACGTTTCTAACTTTGGAAAGCACAGAATAATCCAAAGATTCCCATACTTTTGACTAAACTAACTAACGTTTGACTAAACTTGATTTTGAGGAAAGCTATTCAAATAACTTTTTTAGCTATTCAACTAGCTTCTTTAAAATTAAAAGTCTTAAAAAAATTATACTTAAATCGAATCAGGAGCCATAGCTCTATAGGAGCTACATGACCTGGGCCAAGTACATGACCTGGGCCAAGTACATGACCTGGGCCAAGTACATGACCTGGGCCAAGTACATGACCTGGGCCAAGTACATGACCTGGGCCAAGTACATGACCTGGGCCAAGTACATGACCTGGGCCAAGTACATGACCTGGGCCAAGTACATGACCTGGGCCAAGTACATGACCTGGGCCAAGTACATGACCTGGGCCAAGTACATGACCTGGGCCAAGTACATGACCTGGGCCAAGCTCAGCTTTTTTATAGTTTCTATCCAAATAATTATAGCCTAAATGCTTCTAAAATTAGTTTCTAACGTTTTAGCATAAAGATAAACATTAAAAGTTCATAAATTTTCTTTTGGGATTAGTGTAAAGTTCACGTATGACTAAAAAATTGAAAAGAAAGTCGATTTTGGTAGAAAGTCGACCACTTGTGCATGGTTCAAATGAGCAATGACCATATAAAAAGCTCTGAGCTATGGCCTCCTTATTAGTTTTAAGTATAATTTTATTAAGATTTTCATTTAAAAAAAATTTAGTTGAATAGCTTTCGTCATTTTAAAATCAATTTTTAATAAAAAGTTGTACGGGAGTTTTTAGAGGAATTCAAACAATTACGGGAATCATCCTGTATCATATTTTCTAATGGGAATTTCCAAGAATTCTAACCAGGCAAACCTGACTTTGGATTATTAGGTTCAATTATGTTATATGTTCAATTATGTTGATGTTCAATTCAATAATTATATTCAATTGATTCTAAATTTCGTAAGATTGCAGTTTATTCCCCCAGCCAATAACCACCAAAAGTGATTTTTCTGACTCAGTTTTTTAGGCTGATTACGACTACCGTATTCTCTCTAATAGTAGAGCACCGCGCCGAGCCGAGTTGATGACAATTTTAACGATAGAAACCTGATATCGATAAATGTTATAAACTATTTGAAAGTTGTAAATCTCCTCTACAAAATAGGCTAAAACGTGTTTCAATTGATCGAACCATTGAAGAAATTTCGAGGGCGAAATGCGAGTGACCAAAAAAGGAATCGAGTCACTTTAGGGACAAGTTTAGTGTGGTCAAAATAGAGTTAGCTTCCCAAAATTGAAGATTTTAAAAAAGAAGGATAACTATATATCAATTCATTAAAAAAGTCTGACGGAAATGAACTTACAGAAATTTAGATAGAGCGTAAGTTCAAGACTCGCAAAATTGTCAAAAAACTGGTTTTTTCACAAAAAAGAAAAATTATTGTAAAAACAAAGTTTTCCCATGAAATGATCCCAACTCTTCATTATTTTGAATGATATTTTTAGGATAATGATTTTAGGCCCGTCATTTTCCACTATATAGTCAAAACCGAACTCTTGTGAAAGTGGGGTTTTGAAAAAGTGCCCTTTCTTGCTCACTCGCTTTCTCACTCATTTCGCCCTCGAAATTTCTTCAATAGTTCGATCAATTGAAAGACGTTTTAACCAATTTTGTAGAGGAGATTTACAGCTTTCAAATAGCTTATAACATTCATCGATATCAGGTTCTATCGTTGAAAATTTATGAAAATGTTGAAATCCGCATTTCTTATGCATGTACCTAATAGTTGCTCAAAACAAAAGGGTTTTCTGAAAAAGTGCACCACTTCTTATTGCTACAATTTACTTTTTCTAGCATTCTAAAAAATGAAATCCACTAATCCACTACTAGCTAACTAAAGCATTTCCTAGCACTAACTTTGTAAAGCACTACTTTGTAAAGCACTAACTTTGTAATGAACTTTCAAATTGAGGTACGATGAGGCTTCTATAAAAACTGTTTTTGAAAAGTCCAAAAGCTTTGCTTTGCTTAATCCAAAAACTTTGCTTACCTTCTCTAAGCAATCCTTTTCACATTTCCCAAATGAAAGTGAATGACTGCAGGAGACTTCTTGGGGAGTTCGGAAAAAGGATTTTGTCCTCTCAATGTACTCGTGACATCGTCGAATCACCAAGAATGCATAAATCTAAAGAAATAAACATTTTGTGCTAATAGTAAGGTTGAATTTTTGAATTTAAACAATGATTTTCTTGACTTGCCTTCAAAAAAGTGGAGACTAACAAAAATGCCATTGTGATGTAAGCAAAGCGAATGTATGGAGCTATTGACGGTTCGTCTGAATATTATTTTCATATTTTAAGTCATAGTTATGTCATTTATAATCATTTAAATGTAAATTAAACACTTAGAATTGTAGATACTATTAGACAAACCTCCAGCGAATAAGTACATGAAAGCAAGGCTGAAAAAAGATGTCAAAAAGATCGCGATTCTGATCACAACCCCGCACATGTAAACGAGTAATAATGATAAGCGAAACTCTCGAATTCCTGGAATTATTAGATTTATTTAAACCTTTTTCTTTAGCTTTGACACTTTGACAAACCTTTAACCAAGTGAATGACCAAAATGATCTGCAGAATGACGGTGAGGAAACCGAGCAAGATCGTCATTGGATTCCAGCCACCTGAAAAGCACTTTCCATCAAGAAGTCATCGAAATTTGCACTTTTATTGATTAACCTGTTAAAGGTCTTAAAGGTTAAAGGTGTTAAAGGATGTCAAAAACCTGTTAAAGCTAAAAACTAATGGTCTTGAAGGTCACGGATTCGACAAAATCACTAAGCAACGAGGATCACTAAGCAACGAGATTCTCTAGTGATCTAATTCTTTGATTTAAATCTAATTCTTTTAAATCAAGGTTAATCTACTTGTTAAAGGTTAGTCTACAAACATTTTCACTATTATTCTAAAGTTTTATCAACCAACCAGTGACAGCTTGAGCCGCCCAAAAGGAGACTTGACTCGTGATCCACATCATCTCTCCGTAGGCGATCCACATGGCTCCAGTCTAGATTTTCTAGATTTAATCGACGAATGTCACAGCGAGCGATAGCTTAAAGAAGCCTAAAGAAGCCTAAAGAAGCCTCAAGGAGTTTAAAGAAACTTAAAGAAGCTTGAACAAGACTAAAGAAGCTTAAAGAAGCTTTAAGATCGCTTGTAAGAGAGCTGAATTTTTGCTAGAAAATTGAAAAACTCACCCGAATATGCATAATCTGAAAGCAACAAACTGGTGATGGCAACTCGCGTGGTCGAGGATAGACCCCGAAAGCTGATGGAGAAAACTCTTTCTCGCGGGGTATCACCATCTAAAAGAATAAACAGAAAATGTTCAAATAATCTTGGATTTTGCTTTACTGATTTTGGTTTGCTGCTTTTGCTTGGCAGATTCTGCTTTCTACGTAAATTTTGTTTTGCTTAGATTTTTACGCCATCGATTCTTGGCAACAAAACTAATGATCTTGAAGTTTAAAACAGGTCATTAACTAGGGAAAGGCATCAGCTCAAGATGGCGTTTTAAGCCTTTGAAGCCACTTTGAGCCTTTTCAGCCACCTTGAGCCTTTGAAGCCACTTTGAGCCTTTTCAGCCACCTTGAGCCTTTTAAGCCACCTTGAGCCTTTGAAGCCACCTTGAGCCTTTAAAGCCACCTTGAGCCTTTGAAGCCACCATGAGTCCCAGGGCTTCATAGAATTGTCTATGTTGATTCTGAATATGCTTTTATTTTTTCTAAAGGACCTCTGTAACGCGAGATATCTGGCTTCAAAGTCTAGATTTCAAAGATTCCCGGAGTCCCTATAAGCTTCTGCGTTCCTTGAAAAGAGAGCTAGTGGCGCAGTGGATAGTGTGCTCGCCTCCAGAATTTTTTTGCCCGGGTTCGAGTTCGCTTCGAGTATATCCTTTTTGCTTTTTTTGAGAAAATGATTAGAAAATGTTTAAGGCATCAAAGTATAGAAAGATTAGAAAATGTTTATGGAATTGATTTATTTTGACTTTCACTAGTGGAAGAAGGTTTAGAAATAATTTAGGAACATAAATGCCGATCAGCATAGCCGATTCTATCAATTCTATAAAGCCCCATGGCTCTCGTGGCCACCTTGACCTGGTGGCTTTCCCTAGTAAGCAACGAGGTTCTCTAGTGATCTAAGTCTTTGACTTAAATCTAATTCTTTCAAATCGAAGCATGGGTTCACTGAAAAGAAAAGTTGATTGTCGAAGCTTAACTAAAACTCTACAAACATATTGTTCGGGAGTACATATTCCGAGCATGAGTCTTGGTGGAAGTTGTGGGGCGAGTCGAGGGGAATCCATTTCTTTCCCTCCGCTCGACTTGCTTATGAGTCTAAGCCATAAATTGTCTTTCTTTTTCAGAAATACATGAAAATTTGAGATCAAAAAGACAATAAAAGCTTTTGAGGACTTTATAATGAAATGAGAAAATGAAATGAAATGAAAGGAAAGGAAGAAATGAATGGAAATGAAAGGAAGAAATGAAATGAAATGAAAGGAAGAAATGAAACCTTTATAAATGAATGAAACTTGCAAAGCTTTATGCAAAGTTGCAAATTTAAGAGAAAAGATGAAAGTTGAAGGCTTTAAAATAAAGTTATTGCTGAAAGTTTCACCATAAAACCTTAGAAAATTGATTTGTTTACAAAAATCGACTATAAAAAGTAGAATTCAAATTGTTTAGAAAGAGATTTTGACATCAAAACTCATAGAATTGAACTCATAGAATATTTAGAATGATTTCAAAGCCGGAATAAATTTCCGATGGTGTTCTGGCAAATGTTTTCCCGAAATCTCATTACAAAGTCTTTTAAGGAATGAACTACCAGAAAAAAGCTCCCAGGTACATTTGGATAAAGAGAATATTTTTGGAAATAGATCCAGAGAAGGGCCTTATCCCCCAGGGAACACAACTTGAAAGAGATTCCACACAGATCCAACGCAAAGAGCTTTTAAAGGATGGGAATTGAGTCCTTAAATGACTGAATCTGGTGGAAAAAAAGGTTGGGATTGGGTTACATTTGGTGAAAAGAAATTGGTGAGATTTAGGTTTAAGTAAAATTTTAATCTTCGGAAGTAAGTAAGTAAAATTCTCTGATGTTTTTCATAACATTTTTGTGAGCTTTCAACTCTTTTCTTCGTTTTCAGCACAAGCAATTTGTCAATTGGTTAAAGTCCGCTGACTTTTACTGAAAAACAACTTTCCAATGCATGTTCAATTAGCTCTCGACAATTAGTTTGGTTTTCCTGAGGATCTTCCATCTTTTCTTTTGCTTTTTCTTCTCTTTTCTTTTGCTTTGCTTTGCTTTTGCTTTTTCTTTTGCTTTTTCTTTTGCTAAGTTTTTACCAAATGAAACATTACAATACACTGCAGCATTAAATTAGAATCAAAGATAACTCTTTGAAAGCTACTTGTGCTAGATTTTGTGTTAGATTTTGTGCTAGATTTTGTGCTACAAATTTTTATGCAGTCTAACAAGACTATAAGCTTACAATATATCTATAATAATTGACGGGAACAAGGACGCCCAAGGTGGAATGATTTGTGGTCACTCAATCTTGTGGTAAAAAGAATTGTAAGTTTTAAGTCTTGATTGGAAGACTTGATTGGAAGTCTTGATTGTAAGTCTTGATTTATTGCCATAGTCATTGTCAGCCGGCTGAAGCTATTCGCTTTCAGCTCAGGCTCAGGCTTAGGTTTAGGCTCAGGCTCAGGCTCAGGCTCATGAATCCGCTCATGAACCCGCTCATTAATCCGCTCATGAACCCGCTCATTAATCCGCTCATGAATCAAATGCGAGTCGAGTGACCGGAAACGAAAAACACGCGGGAAGTGGGTGTGGGGAAATCGGAAACCCGAAAAAATGTTGGCGGAAATTGTTGCAAGAGTTTCGAAAACAAATTCAATTCGGAAATAATTCCATGTAAATATTTGAAAAACTAGGGCTCAAGCTAATAAATTCTCAGCTTTCTAAAGCTTCTAAAGCTTGAAGTTTTGAGTTTTTAAATTTTCAAAGCTCACCTTTTGATAAAAAGCCGATGAGAAGCGCCGAAGCATCTCCATTTGATCGACTTTGAATTGGATCGAATGAGGAAAACGATTCTGACTTTGTGTCAGCAAAAACACAATTGGACTTCCAACCCAGAAAATCCAAATCCCGGAAATCTGTGAGTGCGAATGTGCTTTTAATTGAGTAATCAATTGGTCGACTCTCTTTTTCTGATGAAAAGGATCTAGAAAAAAAAGACCCTTTCCTCGTTTATCGCTTCGTTTTTTTGGAGAGGACAAAATGTAGGAATTCACGAAAATGGAAAGGCGTCACGATGATGAGAAAAACTGAAAAGCTGAATATCATATAACGATCAAAAATAGGTTGTCAAAAAGTTTAATTGAACGCTCGAAGAAGTCACTACTTCAATCAGAAGTTTTAAAAATTGACTCTTTTCCTTTTGTGCTCTAGTAGACATGATTCTTTGTGCTCTAGTCGAAACAAATCTTCTGGCAGATACACCAATTTCTCAAGTTCTTTGCAATCCACCTCATAAAGTGGTGAATCTACTGAGTTGGTGAATTTTTGTTTTTGTTGAAAACTGCGGGACTTTGAACTAAAATTAATTCAACATAAAACCATAAATTCATTTCAAATAATTTCCATTATTATTGACGACTTCTGCCCATTTTACAGACAATTTGCGGATTCCTCTTTCGTAGTAGGATTTTGGTTTGTGTGTGAGACAAGTGTGAGACTCAAAAATGGAGGACTGGACTTTGAGAATGGAGGACTGGACTCCCAGTTTGAGCACTTTCTTCAAAAGAAACCCATTTTGGTGTCAATAGAAAAGTTGTAGAGAATCAAAAATTAGGCTTATAGCCAAATTTCCAAAAAGATACACTTAGTAGTTTCGCTTAAAATACAAGTTTTGTGAAAATTCGTAAATTTGCCATTTCTTGAAAACCAGTTTTTGAATCGCTCTGAAAATTTGGATATAAGCTTAATTTTTGAAGCTTAATTTTTGCTTGCTAAGTTTGCTTGCTTGCTTGCTAATCTTGCTTACTAATCTTGCGTGCTAATCTTGCTTGCTAAGCTTGCTTGCTCGCTTGCTAAGCACTTCAAAGTTCAAGTTTATAACTTGACAAC